TTATTATTATTATCATTATTTATTATCATTATTATAATTATTCATCTTGCCATCACATCATTATCATTATTACTATGATAATTGTTATTATCTTCCTCATCCTTATTTTTTTATTTTAGTAATCGTATTTATTGTTATAACTGTTTTGTATATTCTTTTATTATTATTATAACTGTTAAAGCTATTATTACAATTAGATTATACTTATTATTATAATCTTTTCATCACAACTATCATTGTCATTGTTATCACTTATCATTGATATGATTTTCTTTAGTCTTTATCATTCTTACGACTACTCTTACCATTATCAGTAGCAATATTATTTATAAAACTAATATAATCATTATTTCAATCGTTATTACTATAATTAGTTTTTTATCATTATCCTCATCATTATCATTATCGTTATCATGATTGTTTTTTTTCATTATTGTTATTCTTCATTAGTAGTACACATTAATAAACATTTTTTGTCAATATCACTACTATTATTTTAAATCTCATTATCAAAATTATTACGATAATAACTAATATATATATATATATATATATATATATATATATATATATATATATATATATATATATATATATATATATATATGCATGTGTATAAGTACGAAGGTACATATATTGTTCATATGTCTATATGTTGCGTATGCATGTATTATGTGTAGTTTTTATGTAAAGCAAGTGTGTATATAAACCTACATCATGTATGTATGTATATATATATATATATATATATATATATATATATATATATATATATATATATATATATTATATATGCATGTGTATAAGTACGAAGGTACATATATTGTGTTCATATGTCTATATTACGTATGCATGTACTTATGTGTAGTTTTTATGTAAAGCAAGTGTGTATAAACCTACATCATGTATGTATATATATATATATATATATATATATATATATATATATATATATATATATATATATATATATATATATATATATATATAATACACACACACACACACACACACACACACACACACACACACACATATATATATATATATATATATATATATATATATATGTCAAAGTAGATGAGAATGCGTATGTGCTTGAATGTATGTATATACATGTGCACGAAAATGAACATATGCATAATGCTTAGGGCATGTATCTGCACTGAGAGAACATATGCATAAATGCAATCAACATATGCACATGGGTTCAGGTGTATAAAATGTGATCACACATGTATGCGTTTCTGTGACTCAAACCCAAGCTCACGGGAGTATTCCTTGATGTGAGCAGGTTGCGTGCTGCTACTCCGAAGCCCAAGCTTAACAGGTCCAACCCAGTAGGCGGAGGGATTACCAGTGGCACCCCCGCTAATTCACTCACTCCCCACGAAGATACGTTTAAGCCAGTAGGTGGGCGGCACATGGCTGCATACCTCCCGTGAATACACGTTCAGAGCAACGGCCCTAATTCAAGGAGGTAAATGAGCCACTGGTTACGGCGGCGATCAGGATCGCTCCGGTTAAAGACGGGCTGCCTCCCGTGGTGAAGCTTTGACCATATAATGTAAGGATTATGAGAACTGAATCCGACTTATTAACAATACTTGAAGAACTTTTCCATTAAATGGGATGTTGCAGGACTGTGTGAGATTAGAAGACTAGGTAAAGAGCAGAAAATACTTAGTGATGGGCAAGTGCTCTTTTGGAGAGGCAAACCCTAGGGCAGCAAGCAAGAATCAGGGATAGGTTTCTTAGTTCACAAACTCTAAGAAAAGAATATTGTCGAATCCCAAAGTGTGACCCAAAATGTGGCACCAGTAATATTAAAAATAAACAATAGGTACAATTTACAAATTATCCAGCCAACACCCTTAGTGAAGAAGAAATAGAGAGTTTCTATGAAGATGTTCATTTAACCAGCGATAGATAAAAGAAAAAAAAAAATACAAAGTAACTATAGATTTTGATGCCAAGATAGGTAAACAGATAATAGAAACCACAATAGGGAATCACAGAATAGGCACCAGGAATGAGAGGGAACAAATGCTAATCGATTTTACAGACTCGGTCATTAAATATCATGTTACATTTTTCGAAAAAGACACTAGAGCAGAAATGGACATGGAAGTCGCTATCTGATCTCGGAAACAAAATCGACCATCTAGTCTGTGGCGAAATTAAATTGCACCTCGGCAGGGAAAGGATTAAACTCATGTGAAAACCGGAGCCGAATCAAACTAGCTTGAAAACCAGGACAACAAAATTTATCCTTAACATCGAAACCACATAATTACTTCTTAACGACGAAGATCGTAACATTGACCAAATCAACAAACAGTTCAATGACATAATAAAGGAAGCTGCCCTTGAAGTAGGCGGTAAAAACGACAAGCACAGCTCCAGCAAACTCTCGGCAGAAACGTACAGTCAATACAAGTAACATAATGCCGAGAAACGAAACAGCTTATTCTAATACGTACAGTCAATACAAGCAACA